AAATGAAAACAGTTTTCTTACCTCTCCAACTAATAGAAGTTTTAAAATTAATGATAACACTTAATACTGTTAACAATATAGGAAACGGGCCTTTTTATACACTATGGGAGGTGAGGAAAATTGACCTTTCTTTAGAGTTCAGTATGACAGTATCCTTCAAAAAAGTGTCCTAAGTCTATACTTTGATCTAACAATTTCAAACAAAAATGTATGTTGGCTATACATACATTTTGATATTATGAGCCAAATTTATCAATCTTTTTTCATTATGGCATCTCAACTTAGAAGTTTTCCCTGCAGATCTGCTTGCCCAGACTTGCCAGGCTGTATTACACGATGCCACGTCTGCACTGTGGGACAGCAGACTGTCAGCCTGTGTCTGTCGATGTGAAAAGGTGCTCACGAGGATAGTATGCCAACATATATCAAATTAAAAAACAAATTGAAACAATATTTTTACTTTGATGGATGTATCTATATATATAAAAAGCCAGCGTCCTGCTCTGTTAAGATTAGTGGAATAGATGGATATTTAACAGCATCTATATAGAAAATACCTGGAAGCATATATTATATTTATAATATGTTTTTTCAAATCCTTATTTGCCTTTTATTGAAAAACTGTTAGGTTCTGGGAACTCTAGTGTATTGTATTCTCTAGTGTTCAAAAACTAGAGTCTGATTCATCTCTAGAGCATCATATAAAATAGTCAATATTCAAGTTAGTTCGCATTAAATTCTTAGTTCTCTTTTGGAAAAATTTAAGTCGCAAATGTTAAAAAGGCCATATTCTCTTTAGCAAAGAGGACAACCACATACACAAAAAATTATTTTGGTATTTCTTAAGCTGCCTTGTGGTTGTCATGATTTTGTCAGTATCTTCTTTTTCATGTTTATGTATACTTTTGATAATCTCAAAGATGAATTCTTTCTCAATTTTAAGGTTTGCCAAGTTCTAAGATCAACAAATCCAGCTTGACCATGCTTTTCACACCTGTGTGCTGAATTTTACCTTGTATCCAACCTAAGTCTTATCAGATATCCCTTACCAAGTGTTTGGAAGGAGGTATATTAGTGTATACATTTATTCTGCAGGTGATGAGTGCACTCCTAAGCTAAACGTCATGGCTAAATAAATGTCATGGGAAGTCTGTGCTACTGACCTCAAACATTCACAAATGAATTTTATCAAAATCCCATTAAAAGCTGTGAGGTCCCTGCTTTCCTGCTGTTACTCCAGGTTAAGTCACACTTACAACAAAAGCCTCTTTAAGTTTCCGCCTGATTTACTTGATGCCTCTACCAAATAGACCTCACTTTATGATTTTCTTTGTAACTTGTAAGGCAGCAAATACTGTCCTTAATACTAACCTCTGCTGCTTTAGAAGAACTCTAAAGTAATTTTGAAATATGACAACATTCTGCTAACAAATATTAACATCCATGTGTGAAAATGAAATGCAGGAAAACTATACGAGGCTATTTAAAGGGATGATGATCGCTATTTGTTTAAAGTGAGATCATTATCCTTGGGGGGGGGGGGGGGGGGCGGGGCGAAAAGAGACAAAAGATCACTGGTTCCAACTTCCTTAGTTCATAGCTGAGGAAGCTGCCATCAAGAGCAGTCACAGTTAATGGCTGTGCTGGGACCTGAACTGTGGTCTTCTGCCTGCAGTTTGCTAGTTGCATCACACTGTGTATCCACCTGCATACACATGTTTGTACACATGTGTTTTTCTAAACATGCCAACCCTATGGCCCAGCAGTTCCACTTCTGAACATATACTCAATATCCACCAAAAGACATGAACTAGATCATTCATGGCAGCATTGCTGTTAATAGGCAAAATCTAAAGAAGGAAGGAGGGAGGGAGGGAAGGAGGGAAGGAGGGAGGGAGGAAGGAAGGAAGGAAGGAAGGAAAATGGAAAGGGAAGGAAGGAAGGAAGGAAGGAAGGAAGGAAAGAAAATGGGAAGGGGAGGGGAAAGAAGAGGGAAGGAGAGAAGAAAGGGGAGGGAAGGGGAAACCAAATATAAATCAACAGTAGGATGGATAAACTATGGCATATCCACACAATGAAATATTACACAGCAGTTAAAAAGAATGACTGATTCATGGAGCAATATGGATAAACCTGGGCCGGGGAAGTGGAGGTGAGGAGGGAGCATGTTGTTGAGTGAAAGAAGCGAGACATAGGAAATTATGGAGCGCACTTGTGTTCTATTTATATGTCTGCTTATAAACTCCTTAAGATCAGGGACCATTTCTCTGCGTCTGTAGATCTCCAGCACCTAGCGCATTATCTGGCACATAGCAGGTGCTCAAAGTGTAGTTATTGTAATGGAAAGTATAGGATATAGAAAAAGGCACATCCAAGTTTTTTTCTATTGAGAGAAGCAGTAGGAAATAGAGGGAACAGTAATTAATTCTCAGAAGTTTTTTTAAAATATATTTTATTGATTTTTTACAGAGAGGAAGGGAGAGAGATAGAGAGTTAGAAACATCGATGGGAGAGAAACATTGATCAGCTGCCTCCTGCACACCCCCTACTGGGGATGTGCCCACAACCAAGGTACATGCCCTTGACCAGAATTGAACCTGGGACCCTTCAGTCTGCAGGCCGACGCTCTATCCACTGAGCCAAACCGGTCAGGGCATAATTCTCAGAAGTTTTTATGAGAGCACAGCATATGGAAACCTGAAATATTAGCACAATATTAACTGTAACTGACACTTGGCTAGGTATGACCATAACTAGACTCTGGTAATATCTCAGACCTTTTCAATACAGACACTGCTATTGGAGCCTATGGTTTGACTCAGAATGAATTCAACCATGATACCAAGCAGATGCAATAGTTTTCTCTAGTCATATTTGTGGCCTCGATGAGGAGGAAGTCGACTCAGTCCCTTTCCTATTTCTATTCAGTGCAACAGAAGTGCCGCTGAGCTAATCAGTGGATTTTAGTACATTGATTAGGTCATGCTTTTTCGGATTCGTGCCTTGGGGACTAAATGAGCTTACACTGGAAGAAGGCTTTCTCTGACTCCTTGTCCTCTGGCATTGGCGGGTGACTGGCCTTCTCTTTGAGGTGACAAGTTTGGGATGAGGGGAATGGAGTAGCTCTTTTGTCTGCTTGGATTTCAGACTCCTCCTTCCCAGCTTGTGTAGGAATAAGGACCCAACCACCACATGGTTTGCTGAGGTTTATTAGCACTCCACACCGAGGTTTGGGCAATTCCCACCACAAAAAATAAGACATTGTATTGCTTCCTTGAGGTATTTGATTGTCTTGGAGACCACCCAGAAAGTGAGATGGCTAAACTAAGGTGGGATTGGTAAATTCTGGATCTCTTGGTCAAATGCCATTGTAATGCTATTGTAAAACTACCCTTTAAAAGTACCTCACTTCTTCATCCCTAAACACGTAGCACAATGAGACATGGTTTCTTTCTCCTGCCATGGGTGCCTCAGGCATTGATAGGTGCTACTGTTCCAAGCTATCACGTGGAAAAAATCCTGGAAGTCTGAAGGAAAGGTTTGCTCATGTTTGAAAAAGATGTGCCCTACTAGTTATAGATCAGACAGACCCAATGAATTCGAGTCCTTGAGGGAACCCAGGGACAAACTGTTAATCAATTTGCAATCATCTATACAATCACTGCGTATTGAGCTGCAGTTAATACAGCTCTGTGAGCAGAGCAAGTTCACTGTTAATTAAATACTGACCAGCAGGATTCCCATTCGGCTAGTAGGACATTCGCATCAACAGGATGAAAAGACATGGTCCTAACCATTTAGGTGGGTGAAAAATAGCATTTGGTGATGTTAGTTAATCTAAAGGTCTTTGTGAAGTGCTCAGCAGGCAGTGCGGAGGTGGGAAAAACGCTGTTACTTTTCCTATTACCTAAATTACCTTTAAAAAGTTTATTTTTTTATCTCTGTGTTTCATGAGAGTTAAATTAAACTCGGTGTTTTCCCATTATTCTATTATCTAGGTAAGTTATATGCAGCTTGTTTTCACTGATGCTTTCCTGGAACATATTTTACCTCAGGGAAAACAAAACCCTTAGGTTCTTTCCTTTCTTGCTGGTGTTATCAGCCCAGTGCACAGCTTGCCACCCGTTGGGCCATTACTTCATTCAACTTGTCAAATACAGTAAGGTCGCTTGCCAACAGGATGTGAATCTCATGTCTTACCCTGTTATGATTTAAAATTTAATAACTGACACGATGATGTGAAAAAATATATGTCAAGAGTTTTTACCAACTGTTTTGTGAGGCTCCCCCAAATTTGTATGGAAGTACATGAGTTAACATCTCTGGTTTCATTCTTCATTGTCTTGCTCATTTTTACCAAGCCCAAAAAGTTGCCCCTTGGATGTTCAGTTGTGCTTCCAGCAAACCCCCAGCCATTGCTGGACAATAGCGTCATTAGTTGGACAAACATACCCTTTCTAATTGCTCTTCTCTAAATTTCATCAGTGAACTAAAATAAATCTTCATCTGTTAATGGCAATTTTAAAAATTAAATATTCCAAAGATTCTTGGAAAAAAATGTTTAACCTTGTCAGTCTTGCTCTTGACTGTTTCTTCTTGATTTAGCATCCCAGTATTGAGAGAAAAAATATCTCACTTGGAAAAAATATATACCCACTTGGATATGCAAACTTTAAAGTGGTGATGTTAAATTTTAGATGAAAATATGTTGAAAGTAACCCTGGCCTGGTGGCGCAGTTGGTTGGAGCATGTACACCAAATGACTTTGGATTCAGTTCCAGGTCAGGGCGCATACCTAGGTTTCAGGTTTGATTTCCGATCGGGACACATATGGGAAGCAACCAATTGATGTTTCTCTCTCATATCAGTATTTCTCTCTCTCTCTCCCTCTAAAATCAATAAATGTATCCTCGGGTGAGGATTTTTAAAAAGCATGTTGAAAATAAATGTCAGTGAGTCCTTGAGAATTGCCTAACTCGTACTAATTTGTTGGTTTGCAGTTTAACTCGGCCGCTAAGCAGCTGATAGAATGGGATAAGCCTCCTGGGCCAGGAGCTGATGCTGGAGAAGGCACCTCGGCAGCAGCTCAGGGCAGCACTGTCTCAAAGCACTCCGACACCAAGAAGAACACCAAAAAGCGGCACTCCTTCACGTCCCTCACCATGGCCAACAAATCCTCCCAGGCGTCCCAGAACCGCCACTCCATGGAGATCAGCCCCCCTGTCCTCATCAGCTCCAGCAACCCCACGGCCGCCGCGCGGATCAGCGAACTGTCCGGGCTCTCCTGCAGCGCCCCTTCTCAGGTGGGTCACCCAAAAGGCAGGAAAAGAGGTCGGCCACAAAATGATCTAGTCACGAACCAGTTTGCTCACCAGCCGAAAGATCTTGTTTATTGTGGCCTTCGGGAGGTAGTAGCTCTCCTGGGGAGCAAAGCCTTTCTCGTTCTGCAGGTGGAAAAATGGCGAAGGGAGAAATGACTTGAGCATATTCACCCAGAGCTACACAGGCATTTTCAAAGGAAAGATCCGAAATTATAAGATGAATTAAATAATACTTATCAGTCTCACTAAGCGCTCAGTTTTACAGAAAGCTGTTTCAGGAGTTCTTGCCAACTAAAACTTTTATCTCCATCCAAACTGAAGATGCTATTGTCAAAACTCATGAAGTTTGCAGTTGCCTACATCTGTGTGACTTACCTTGGTATTTGGGCTTCTTAGTCAGAGTTCCAGAAAAAGGACATAAAGAAACATTTAATTTAAGTTAGAAATTAGCCTAGCATTTTTTAAAAGCTCATTAATTCATCAAGACTTTGGACTATCTTAAAAAATAGCTACATATTATTCTTGTGTTAATAAAAAGGCTCAAGATGATGGGGAACATTGGTTTAATCATTTGATGAACCTTTACTGGGTGCCTTATTGTAGAGTCTTCATGGAACTGCGTATACCAAACAAAATAAGATGTGGGACTTTCCCATTCTAGGCTTAATTCTGGACTGCAACGTGAGCCTCGCTGTGCCCTGCTGTAGTCATCCAGTTAGGTGATAGCTGTATTCTTTTCAACCCAAAGTCCAGAGAGCCTAGTCCAAAGTAACCTGCCACAAGTGGGAGGAATTTCTTTCAAGGCTCATGTTTTATTTTAAAAATTTATGCCGATTTTATATTCTACTCTATAGTATTTATAGCTGTGATTAAAAAAAAACATAAAATAAATTATTTTCCCTTAAAGGGAAAAAAGAGAGAGAGAGAGAGAGAGAGAGAGAGAAAGGGAGAAAGAAAGAAAGAAAGAAAGAAAGAAAGAAAGAAAGAAAGAGGAGGAAGGGAAAGAGAATGAGAGAGAGAGAGAGAGAGAGAGAGAGAGAGAGAGAGAGAGAAAGGAAGAAAGAAAGAAGGGGAAAAAAGAAAAGAAAGAAAGAAGCCAACAGCCCTGGCTGGGTAGCTCAGTTGGTTAGAGCATCATCCCGATACACCAAGGTTGGGGATTTGCTCCCTGGTCAGGGGCACATACAAGAATCAACCAATGATTGCATAATAACTGGAACAACAAATCAATGTCTCTCTCTCTCTCTCAAAATCAATAAATAAAAATTCAAAAAAAAAAAGCCAGCAAACACAGTCCTTATCCTCAAGAAACCTACCCAGTTTAATAAGTATCTGTTTTGGACCACAGAATAAATATTTACAACAGTTTTTGGTATTCCTTGCTAATATTACTAAAAATTATGTTCTCTCAGACTCATTTATTTGACCTTGCTCCTTTAGATTCATGCTGTAGGTTGTGAGATAAATGCTTTCATTCTCTGAATGGGATTGTGTTTTGTTGTGTTTTAGGCAGTAGGGCCATGAAACTTTTGATCTTATGAGGGAAATAGGACACACACACACACACACACACACACACACACACAGGACTAGAACATGAGGGTGATGAAGGCAGAGGTCTTTGTTTTGTTCGCTGATACATCCCAAATGGCAGACATACAATAAGCACGCAGTAACTATTTGTTGAATGAACGAGTCACTTGAATAATGGGTAGAGAGGAGCACCGTGCTATTTTACATGTAACTAGCTGTCTGAATGATAGACTAAATCAGAGCACCAAGTACCAAGTGAGGTTCCTCTGGAGAGAGTCCAAACTGATGATTTTGAATGAGGTTCTGAGGGAGGAGGCTATTCAAGGTGGCCATTCACCAAAAGAAAAGAGAATCATTTGAGTGTGTTTTTTATGTGTGACCTAGCAACATTTTCACAGTGATGTTTTCTTGAAATAAAAGATAAGTGTTCGCTAAGTATAATGGCAGCTCAGAGTGGGAATTGCTTTAAAAGAATAGACAGTCATCCTGGCAGTAGAGAAAATTAGAAGAGAAAGGAAGATAATACAGCGTTTATATGTTTGCTAGCGAACACGGCAGTCGGGTGTGAGCTTGCCTGACGCTGCCACACTAGAGCTGGGAACGGAGACGATCAAGGTGGAGCGACTGTTGTTTTGGTTTGAGTAGCTTAGGAAACAAGGCTGGTTCTCAGTTCTGTGAAAGCAGTTTCCCCTTCCACCATGCCCCACTCCTCCCATGTTCCAATTCCTCCTGTTTTCACTTGTAGCGTGTTGCCTGGGGAGAAGTTATGTCTCGAAGAGGATGGGAGGCGTTTGAAGTGCTGCCTGGTTCCTCCCGCCTGGGTTTACAGAAAACACTCCTTGTCTGGGTGCTGTGTACATGGGAGGGAACCACAGTCCACAACAGAGCAATGAGTACGTGTAGCATGTGTGGCCAGCAAACACGCTCCTGCCATGGAGATGAGTGGAGATGGGAAGACGGCGCCTGGGAGGCCATTTAAAGTAGGGCTCTCCTTCTCTTCTCCCCAGAAAAGCACCTCTCAGTAGAGTTGACTGAGGCCTGTGTCTGAATATGTCTCCTGCTATTGGCCTGATACTTCCGTCTTGCTTTTCCTTAACTAGGTTTGGTTTCATTTATTTAAAAACCCAAGGCAAGGGGCCTAAAGAAGTGAGTGTTGTTATCTCACCCAAGTGAGATCCACATAGAGGCAGTTCTGTGCTGGTGGGATGGGGCCTTCCAGCTCACCTTTTCACCACGTCGTTAGGGGTTAGGTCCCTGTCCTCCTGTTTCTGGGTGGCAAATTCCAAATTCCAGGCAACAGGATGGGCAGTGAACCAAAGAAAGGAGCAAAGGGCTCGCTTCCTGTTTTACTTGGTGACTAATGAGTGAAGGCTGAACTTTCCAGTATGCAAGTTGACAGATTGTGTATCGGCCCTGCTGTCCAGGTGGGTCATCAGAACAGACGTGCACAGATGCCTGTGACTAACACCTGTAAAAGCATGTGATGCTGCAAGCAACCCAGACATTTTGTCTGCTCCTCTAGCCGCACCCATGGTACTTTTTGGCCCCTGCCAGCTGGAGGAGTGATTCATAAGAGTGAGAGTTTTTGCGGCATGTCTACCAGTATATTGCCAGTGGCTTCGGGGGAGGCAAGAAAATTCACCCATTCATTTCCATTTGCTCCCCCCACCTCTTTCCTCTCTGCATAGCCCTTTCCAGTAGGGAGACTAATCTGCAGTTTCATGAGCAAAGGCTGAGCACGGCGTCAAGTCAGGTTGTCCCCAGGCCGGGCATTTATTCTGGACACGCACACCCTCAGCCACTTTTCTTCTGCTTTGAGTCATTCTTTGGTGACCATTCCCTCTTCCTTTGCTCTAGTGCTAGGATGCTGAACTGAGGCCGGCAAGATTCTCGAATTCGGTGCTTCACTCCTACGTTTGCTGCCAGAGACCTTAGGGAACCTCTGTCCAGCTCATCACGGGGGTCCAGAGACCTGAAGTGCCTCACTTGTCCTAGGTCATGAGTTGATTAGCAGCTAATTATCCTGACTCCCAGTCTGGGGCTTTTAGGGAAACGTCAGTCAATCGTGAGACCTTTTTTAGATATTGGTAGGGTCAGGCCCGGGAAGCTGTATTTGGGGCGGGTTTTCGTCTGCCCTTAAAGGCTCCTGGATTCTGGTGCACACTTTGAAGTGAGCGTCATTGCATTTCCTAAGAAAGACTCCCATCTTCTGTGTGGTGCCCACATGCAGCTGCCCTGGGAGTGTGTATATAAAAAGATTTATTGGATAAAGGAGCGGCAGGCCGTGAGGTTTTAGTCGAAGAACGAAAAACCTCTGTGCTTCCCATTACAGATTGATTAGAAATAGACTTTGATTCACAGAAGAGAGAAAATGAGAGTTTGAAGAGAAACGCTTGTTAGTGGCACCCCTTGAATCTGCTTCGGTCAATCAGAATCCGAGCTAACAGGTACCAAGGTGGTTTTAAAAGGACGTGGATTCCATGTACAGATTTATTGGTGAAAATAATTCGATGCTGGGACGCTGATTCTCCCGGCCTCGGCAGGGGCTAACCCAGTGGGACACTGAAAGTTCCTTCAGGCCCTCCGGGAACTAACTAATCTTGGAGCTTTTCTTTGTCCTGATAATCTTTCTCTTAATTTATGGGAATTGACGAAAGTATGTTTGGGATTAAGTTTTTATTACAAAAGGCCTAGCATGTTTGGTACAGCATTGTTTCCAGGGGAAGACAAGGTACCAGCAGCCAAGCACATTTCTTTAACCATTTGTATGCCATAAGCATCTATAGATGAAGCAATGGACCTTTTTTAATTAAGTTCAAAATATCGTGGTAGTTAACTGGTTAATAATAACGAAGGAAAAACCTAGTTTTTGCAGGAGCCCCTGTCCCTAGTTCTGCACCATGGAGTACGCTGTTGCACTCTGCAGTCAGACCTGTGTGCAACTTGACTGAAAGTGATCAAGTAACCAAACACAGGCAACGAACTGACCTGAATAACTCAATTTCTTTCTAGTAAATTGATCTTAGGTAGTATCATGGATAAGACACTGTGAAAACAGTGGATTTGACTTTACATCATTCCCATAAAGGTTTTATCAGGGATTGTCTGCTGTAGGCAGGTCTAGGCAGCTGCATTTTAATTATGTGTCCCCACTGGAAGGTAGAAATCATGAAAGTGATTCTGAAAATAGCAGAACACCTTAAGCATTTCACATAGATTTAACATATTGCTAGGCAGGTGAGTATTTAGCCACAACCCAATCCAACAGGATCTTGAGGGGAATTGCCAGGAGGCTAGTGAAGCAAAGGCCTGACCATCTGAAAAGCCAGTTGGGTTGGCAGTAGCATCCCAGGCGAGGCAGCATGCTCCTGTGAAAGGCAGCCGTAGTTGAATTCTGTATGTAAAACATTGCAGTGGCCAGTGTTGATCACGTGACTTCGTAGTGTCTTCATACAAATTAGGTAAGCAGTACATTTGGGTTGAATAAAATGAAAGGGATTCTGCCTTCCAAAAATAATAGAAAATACAGATTTTTTTTAAAAAAATTGTTACTTGCCTTCCCAAGGTTTAGCTAGTATAATCTATTGTATTAAATATAGCCTTTTGCTCAGTTGGCGAGGCTCAGTGGTTGAGCTTTGACCTATGAACCAGGAGGTCACGGTTTGATTCCCTGTCAGTGCACATGCCCGGGTTGCAGGCTCGATCCCTAGAAGGGGGCATGCAGGAGGCAGCTGATTAATGATCCTCTCTCATCATTGATGTTTCTTTCTCTCTCTCCCTCTCTCTTCCTCTCTGAAATCAATAAAAAATTTTAAAAATGTTTTAAATGTAGCCTTTTTATTAACTTCTTTTTTCTTGGCAGGTTCATATAAGTACCACCGGGTTAATTGTGACCCCACCCCCAAGCAGCCCAGTGACAACTGGCCCTTCGTTCACATTCCCATCAGATGTCCCCTACACAGCTGCACTTGGAGTGAGTATAGTTTCTCCCATCTCTGTTTCTCTCTTAGGGATTAGTTACGTTAACCTGGCCCACTCCACCTCCAAGCACCTGCAGTTTACGTGGCACATGCTAGGTGGGGTGTGTCTCTTACCTTTTATCTGTTATCTCTGTGAATCTCACACACACAAAATAGAATCTCTTGCCTGCAGTCTGCCCAAGTTCTTAACAGTGAGGATCAGTGGCCTGAAACTATTAGAACTCGGTAAAATCCTTTTAATTTTCATCATGGTTCATCCTGATTTCCTGAAGGCTTAACTTTTATTTCTTTTGAGTTTCTAGACCTTGCTTACTTCTTACAAAAACACATTAGTAGAAATACTGAGGAAGCTGGCTAAATGATTTTCTTGAGTCACATGCCAAGTCGATTTTAAATCTCTCCATGTATGATTCACCTTTTAGTTTCTTGTCTTCTGTGGTATAACCATAGCCATGGCTGCCCAGAGGTCCCTGCTGCCCTGGAAGAGCCCTTAGATTATGTTTGATTTTCTTTCTGCAAACATAGCATCCTGCAGACAGAATCTAAACACTAATTGCTTTAAAACATCCTAACGGAGGAAATTAATAGGAAGAATGAGGGCAGCCAAGGGAGAGAGACACAAAGACGAAGATCACTCTGGAGAAGAAACAAGCAAATACAACCTCAGGCAGCAGAAACACAGTCGTTAAATCCCTGTTTTCAAAAATTACAGGCAATTGAATGGCAAGGAAGCAGCCATTGTGAGACATCTCTCATCCAGGCCAGTGCCTTGGCTTATACTTTCGGACTGTTTCAGTGTGGAGTTGAATGGGGATAGAAAAGACCACTAAATCAGATGTCCCCGGTGAACCCCACCCCTATAAATTGCTTTGCCCAACCTCACCTGGTTGTGATACGTTCAGAGAAATGGTGTGGCCCGGTGACCGGGGCACAGGCCAGGGTTGAAAGCCCAGTTCAGCCACTTACTTGTTTTATGAGCAAGGAAAGTTACGTGGCCTCTTTAAGCCTCCGTGTTCCTACCTGTAAAATGAGACTAATAGTACCTGCTTCGGAGAGTTAGAACCTAGAATGTAGAGAGAGAGAGGGGTGACTATTACTGATCTGGTTATTGACCTCTTCGACTGTTTCAAGGTGGGCCTGTGACATGTGCCACTGGTTTGCTCTAAGAATGCCTTGGAGGGCCTGGTTCATTTTCCATTCGGTTTTCTCTGCTCTTGGTACCAGGAATAGTGAGGCTTTTAAGCAGCTGGTTTATTTTTAGGTTGTGGATTTTATATATGTTGTAAAGATTATATTTCCCTCTGCTAGAATGCTTAGAGCCAAATTGGTACCCTTCCCTAGCTGGGACCTCACCACATTATTAGTCAAAGTGTTGCCTCCATCTAGTTTTATTGTCCTCAGTTTCCTTTTGCCCCATTTTTCTTCTTTTATGTTTGTCTTGATACATTTTATAAATCATTGAAAACTGACTTTGAAACAAGGTGGGATATAAATAAATGCAGTTATTACCTAGCTTGACTTAGACTTTTGAAAAGGTTTTATAGAGTTAAGCATGTTCTTCTACTTACATGGAAGTTGATAATGTTCTGGTTATGCCCTGGCCAGGTGGCTCCATTAGTTGGAGCGTCGTCCCATGCACCAAAAGGTTGCTGGTTCGATTCTAGTCAGGGCACATACCTACTTTGCAGGTTCGATTGGGATGCATATGGGAGGCAAGCAATGTTCCACTCTCTCTAAACATCAGTGGAAAAACTATCCTTGGGTGAGGATTAACAACAAAAGATAAAAAAAAATAAGTAAAATAAATTAAAAAAAAAATAATGTTCTGGTTGAAGATCAAAGTTGTAGTTTTTTGTGTGTTTGTTTTTTAATGTTCCCAGAACATTATAGCTTCCTTAACAGTACAAGTGTTTAGATTGGGAGGGTGAGTTGCATTAATCCATCTGGGGAGACGGTGAAATTCAGTTAACTTACCGACATGTGGTTTCCCTGAGATTCTGGTAGCACCCGGGTGTTTTGATTGGAGCCAAGTACCATAATCATCCTGCCCTCTCACCTTTGGAGAGGACCCTCTTTCCCCCCTTCCCTTCCCACCCCAACACTTGCACAACCAGTTGGTATTCCCATTCCAGATGACTGCTTTGCATGGAAAATTCTTACTTGATTTCTTTTTTTTTTTTTTAGTGTTTTTTATTGATTTCAGAGAGAGGAAGGGAGAGGGAGAGAGATAGATAGAAACATCAATGATGAGAGAGAATCATTGATCGGCTGTCTCCTATACGCCCCACACTGGGGATGGAGCCTGCAACCTGGGCATGTGCCCTGACCAGGGATTGAACTGTGACCTCCTGGTTCATAGGATCTCTGAGCCACACTGGCTGGGCCTCTGACTTGTTTTCTTAACAGGGAAAAAAAAAACCCTGATATTCCTGGTCTTAGAAAAGTTAATTAGTGGAAAAGACACAGAGCCTAATCTCACCCCTTGTGGGTTACAAATTTTACCATGTACGAAATGGCCAGTCGCTCTTAGCTGGAGGAGCACTGTCAGGCCAGTCAAGGGGACAGGTCACAAGAGAGCATGAATATATAAAAATTAATTCACATTCAGCGATTTCATCCTGGGATTCCATGAGAAAGCTTGCATGTTAAGCAAGAGGAAGGTTTATTAAATGGTATGTCTACGGTGCCAATTTCACTTACTGAAAAGCGAGTTATAAACAGACATATCTGTCATCCCAGGAGATGTCTAGATCTCAAAGCCCCTGGTAGGTTGGCAGAAATGTTTTGCATTTAAATGTTGGGTTTAAGTGGAAAAGACTCTCAGGAGAAGGTACCCTCTGCATTTCTCCTTAATCACGGCGAGTATCCTTTTTTGAAATTTGAGGTATTTCCCAAGACTTTGAGCAGTATTGCAGCAATAGCATGCAGCCTGGTAGGAAGGAAACCATGCTTTTCATGGCGTGGATTTATAGGTAATAAATGCCGCCACTATAGTAGAAAATGAAAGCTTTTTCTATGAATTGATAATTTTTAATCTTTTATGCCAAATGAAGTTATGAGCATATTGTCTCATACATTTCACAAGGAACTATTAAAATGTTAAATATCTAATCTTAGGAACAAACTGTTATTACATCTATCTGATTCAGACATTAGTCTATTATTAGTAGTAAGGGTTTTTTTCCAACTAATTTTTGGAAGGGGGGAGGATGAAACCCTTAGTCTTGTATCTTCTGTACAATGGCAGGAGAGCTTTGTAAACAAGTGATTCATAATCCCTGATCCTCTGTGCTGGCTGAGAGGTGTTTAGCTGTAAGATGTCACAGGGTGCCCAGGTCATTAAAGGCCAAATATAGCCCATAGCCAACTTATAAACAGATTACATTCCAAAAATGTGTTACCCTATTTTTATGTTACTTACACACACACACACACACACACACACACACACACACACACTGCTTAAAGATACAAAATTAGCCTCGCCGGTGTGTCTCAGTGGTTGAAGGACGACAGTGATTGAAGGTCAATCTATCAACCAGGAAGTCATGGTTCGATTCCAGGGCAGGGCACATGCCTGGGTTTTGGTCTCAATCCCCAGTATGGGGCATGCAGGAGGCAGCTGATTAATGATTCTCTCTCATCATTGATGTTTCTCTCTCTCTCTCTCTCTCTCCCTCTCCCTTCCTCTCAGAAATCAATAAAAATATGTTTAAAAAAGTAAACAAAATGTAAATGATGTCAGGTTCTCAGATGAGCCAATATGTAATTAATTCATTATAGTCCAGAATTTACTGCAGTCGACGGGATCAGGGAAGGCCTCTGGAAGTGAAAGGATGGGACTGCCATCCTGGCAGTTTGAGAGGAAGAAGGAGAGCCTTTGGGATTGGCAGAAGTTCTGAGCCTCAGGATGAGGGGTAGGATATGGCCAACACCGTCATAGCAACAGAAAAGAACTCCAGCATCTCAGAAACAGGCCTTTGGATCCTTGCACGTTGTTCTAAGGGATGGAGGCACAGCATGTTTTCTCACTCGTGAAACACTCACTGAGGATTTGTTATCTCTGTCTGCCAAGGCCGGTGCCGGCAGCACAGAGATGAGTCAGTAAGGCTGTCTCGGACTTCCCAGTCTCACGAATCACAACCGTAGCTGCCATTTATGATCTTCTGTGGTGCTCCCGGCACAGGAAAGGCAGCGCACCTAAACTATTTCTAATTATAAGGCCGTCTCACAGGCACATATATTAAGGCCTGGAGACCTTATGTAATTTATACAAAGTCAATTAACTAGTACAGGTATCTCTTCTTACAGATCAACTGCAGAACAATAAATACACAATTTGTGAGCGAAATTCCATTCCCCAAGAGGTTTTTTTAAAATTCTTAATTCCATCTTCCCCTTTAGACATAATCTTCTAAGCATTGACTTCTGGCATTTTTAGATAGATTCTTTAATGTTTTTTCTTCAAAGCTGTACCCACAGTTGACTGGTTTAATTCCAGTGAACATCCACCTGAGACGACTCCTTTTCATCTTTATCTTAATTTTATTGGATTCTGACACCTAAGTTATTTTTTTTAATCACTAGTATCAGTACTTTCACCTTTCTACTTTCTACTCATTGCCATAAAAAATAAGGTAAAATACTTAAATAATTGTACACACACTGCCTTGTGCAGATGGTGAGGCTGCTGAAGTTGGTAACACTGTTAACTGGCGGGCGCGTGCCCAGCAGCAACTGGGCCTGTTTCATCACCAGCTGGTGCACCTGCGTCTGTGTCCAGTACACAGACAGGCTGTCAAGAGAGGTTCATGTGTAGGGTTGAGAGTGGGTTGACTGGAAATCAGATTTACAAAGAAACAATTATGAGTTGGGGGATAGTAAGTGGTATTTGCCCATAGGATCCAGAAATGCCCGAAGTCTGTCCTTCGGTCACTTTTTTATTTTGGGAGGTATGTGAGGGGGATGCACACATAAGGGACAGTTGGAAAGAAAATGAACCCTTCATTGTCCGTTGACCTTGTAGCTAAAACTCCAGTGCAAAGCACTTTACAGGTAAGTCTTTGCCCCAGTTTAAACCCCTCTGTTCATTGCAGCGTCACTTATAATAGCTAAGATTTGGAAGCAGCTCAGGTGTCCATAAGTAGATGAATAAAAAGCTGTGGTACATTTACACAATGGAATACTACTTGGCCATAAAAAAGAAGGAAATCTTACCTTTTACGACAGCATGGATGGGCCTGGAGAGCGTTATACTAAGTGAAATAAGTCTGTCAGAGAGAGACAAGTACCATGTGATTTCACTTATATGTGGACTCTAATGAACAAAATAAACTAACAAACAAAATAGAAACAGACTCATAGATAAAGAGAATAGACTGAGAGCTGTCAGAGGGGACGGGTTGGAGGGGCTGGGTGGAAAAGGTGAAGGGATTAAGCAAAAAAAAAATCCACAGTCCTCATGGACACAGACAACAGTGATTAGCAGAGGGGGAAGGGGGGTCGAAGAGGGTAAAGGGGAGAAAAATGGTGATGGAAGGGAAACTGACTTTGGATGGGTGGGCTGGGTGGAAAAGGTGAAGGGATTAAGCAAAAAAATCCACAATCCTCATGGACACAGACAATAGTGATTAGCAGAGGGAAAAGGGGGGGTAGGAGAGGGTAAAGGGGGGAAAAATGGTGACAGAAGGGAAACTGACTTTGGATGCGTACACACAATACAATATACAGATGATGTATTATAGAATTGTACACCTGAGACCTATATAATTTTATTAACCAATGTCACCCCAATAAATTCAATAAAAAATTTTAAGAAATATTTCTTTTAATGGGGGCTAGAATTAAAGTCTGAAACTTTAATTCTAACAGGGAAGAGATATCATTTCAGGGAAGAGATATCATTTCAGTACTTAATTATAAGTGTCAGGATTTTGATACTGGGTCTTATTTCAGTGTCAATCCTGATGACATTGCCTGATGAGAATAACTTCCTTACTGAAGTTTGGACAGAGGATTTTTTTTTTCAATCTTCACCTGAGGATATTTTTCCCATTGATTTATAAAGTGAATGGAAGGGAGGGAAGGGGGAGGAGAGAGAGAGAGAGAAACATCGATGTGAGAGAGACATATCGATTGGTTGCCTCCTACATGCACCCTGACTGGGGACGGGATCAACCTGCATTCCAAGTATTCAATTCCTTGACGGGGAATTGAACCCATGACCCTTCACATGGGCCGACGTTCTAACCACTGAGCTCACGGGCCAGGGCTGGACAGGTGATTTTACTGGTTGCTGTATACATTAAACCCAAAAGCAAAAGAAAAACAAATAAAAAGACATAGTGGACCTTGCAGTCTGTCCTTGGCCAAATCCAGATCGTTTAAACACTATCTGGGCTAGTTTCATGAAAGGGCAAAAGGAGGAGCGAGCACCCGAGAGAAGGGGTCTCACACCCAGTAACTGAACTTTTCACGCACAGCGTCCAGTAGCAGATGTGGCTGGTCAGTGGCCTGCAATCCAGACTGAGAGAGCACTTCTTTTCTGGTGCTCACTCTAGCAAAGGGGAGGCATCAAGGACTGCCTTAGATGGCTGAGCCTGGGTTAGAGTCTATGTTTTTCTGCCCCCAACAACTATTCTTCTACCATGTAAGACTTCGTCTTCTTTCAAGATCAGAGGGTTGTGGGAGGGAACCTGGACACTCAAAATATGACCAGTTTACAGTAGCTGACCACTAAGGCCTGTATTTGAGCTAAGTGTTGTTCAGAAGTAGTCATTCTCGCCTCAGACCGTTACCACGTACTGGTAAACGGAAGGTCTGAATCTACAGACACAGGAAGCTCATTTTTAATGCATGTCAGAATAACATCACGTGTTCTACATCAGTATTTCTGTGGCCTGGGCCATAGCTATGGACAACTTTACCTTAATCACACAGACTTGCTGAGTTTCCGTGAAGCTACAAGGGATGAACACTTGTGAGGCCCCAATTCAATTACCCATGCAGTAGCTGGTGAACGTGGCATTTCACTGTGGTATCTGGTTCTGTACAATGGTACGTTAACGACGTATTATTAGCAAAGTGTCACCTGTGCTCCTAGCAGGGCCATGGACGCGTTTGTTTTTTCCTGCTGGTGGAGAGTGCGTGTTGGCCTCTGCAGCCACGCTGGCCCGGGCTGTGAGAAGACGGGCGGGTCTCCGGGTCAGCTCTGGGTGAGTGAAAGGCTGTGGTTTGCGCTGTGGAAATTTCAGGTCTTACAGGATAGCAAACTGCCCAAAGCGTAACCTACAGCGGATTACCTTTTGAACTTCCACATCGCCAGATTATTTCAGTTGAGGTTGTTTATAAAGCAACCCACAGAACTTCCTAGTGTGTCACAGCCCTGGCCTCACCAGAGCCCTATCATTTTACCAGCCCCACAGGGCTGAGCAACATCTAGGAATCTGATTTTAATCAGACTCTCCCTCTTGGCCTTTGTCTGTGTGCTTCTATACCCACGAATACACATGCACTCACATATGCACATTTCCCCAAAGATGGGTAACCCAGCATTGGGAAAAATCCTGTCCAATTTTTTATTTTTTAAGACTGTTTCAAGCACAACCTTTGGGGTCTTTTAGAATATCCTCTTTTATCCACATTTTAAATGCCTACTGTTTACTCTTTGTAAAAGGAACATGCATGGAACATTTGTTTACTGTGATACAAGAGGTGACCTATTTTTACATTTTGTTAACAAAATGTGATGTATATTTTGATCAGACCTGTCGATGTCCTTGCCTCCTTCTTCTTAGGACCGATTTAATACTGCCTCTGTTTTAATAAGTTAAAATATAACAGGCGATGTTCATTTCCTTTCCTCTTGAAGGTGGGGTTCTGCGGAGAGTGAGAAATGGAGCCTTTTGGTTCTGTGCCTTCGGTACTGTGCTCGGTGACTGCGGGGAGCGGTGACTGCGCGGCTCCTGTCGCGCACGTGCCATTTGTCTTCTGTCTCGCCACAGCCACGCTGTTTTGGGTTTAGGAAGGTTTAAATGGAAACCAGCTAAGTGGTAATTTTATAATCTCCGGTGGTATATTAGTCGCGGTACAGTCTGGACCTGTTACCTCACCTGTCGAGCCGCCGGTGTGTCATTGCCCACGAACTAACGGCCCAGGTCTCGTTTGCTGAGCGTTTTACCAAGGATTCGCATTCCTTCTCTCCACTGTGTCACTGGGAGGAGAGCAAATGGAACGAAGGCTTGTCCTTCTCCTGGTTAAAGGGTTTGGAGGCTCTGAGCCCAAGTCTGTGCCAATTCCAAAGCTGTGACAAATCTGAATGCTGCCCTCGTTCCTATGGGGAGCGTGAAGAACGTCCTGGAAGCTCTGGCTTTCTGAGCTGCCCTTGGCCTCGTCCGGGTGAGCGCTGTGTAAGCAGCTCTGCGCCCCATGTATTTCTGCACTGGCTGTTCTGCACCACCTTCAGCTGCTGTGTGGGGGGAAATCACTTTAGCAAAAAAACTAAATAAGAGTGTGTGAGACAGTTGCAACATGCTTGTCTAGAAATTGGAAAATTGTTCCACTCCGTTTATTATGTTTGTGGAGCTATGTACTTGAATAGGCAGATGCAGTTAGTGTTGTTGATGAGATTCAAGTTTTTATTTCAAAAAAATAGACATGAAATGACTGTTAGGATCTATGTTTAGAAGTCATTGGATTTGTCTTATTAATATGCTGATGTGTCTCAGCCATCTATGCTTTCATAGGTGTATTCTTTACTCCTCCTCTCTCCTTGGATTCAGTTTTTACATCTAGTGGTTCAAAGATTTGGGGAGGGTGGGGTGGGGTGGGGGTTCAGTTGGGTCTTTCTGTGCCTGTGTTCCCAGGAGTTTCAGTATACAGACCCTAAAGAATTATCTGGGGTGTGTGGATCAGAAGGTAACAATTGCTCCATTGATTTCCAAAAGGCATGGAATCCTGTAGGCAGAACCCCATTAGTCTGTGCCCATAAAAGAACCAGCAGCTTTTCACTGGTGTACTTGTTAAAGATTACCAGCCTTGATAGTCCTAAATTTCAAACGCTGGCAGAGTTAAGAAAAGAATAAGCAAAAGTAGCAACAACAGCCCAGTGATTGTGGCTTGCTATTGTTTGGGCTTTGTGGAGACCAGGCATCAAAGGAAATTTTCTTCTGAAGGCATGGCTTGCGATATAGTGCAGCCCTATTGTTTTGCATTGTGTTTAAGTTTCAAGTTACAGAAACAATCACAAATTAATTCCCAGCAAGCAGTGTGACATTATAGCTGCCCCTTTGAAAAGCATTTGGATTCTTGGCCAAGTCTTATACTTAAAAGGCTTATTCATCTTAAAATTACACACAATTGTTTCGTGTGGTGTTTTTTTTTTTCTTTCTTTCTTTCCCTCCTCCCAAGCAGGATTACTTACCTGTTCGCTGGAAAAAATTGCCATGGCTTTAAGATCTTAAAGGAGA